TGGGGTGACAGGGTCACCCCAGCTTAGCTAGCCTGGATCATGGGGGTGCACGTGTCTGCAGGGCTCGGGGAGGTCCTGAGACTCAAAACGAGGACGTTTTTCATGTGGATGGGCTATGTTTCCATGGGCCATTTCCTGGCCCCTGAGTTTGTTTGGTTTTTGTTACAGACAGCGTGCACTCACCAGAGAGAAACGCGGGGAGAGTGAGAAAGCACCCCAGCGGGGATGGCCATGCCAGTCTCTTCTCCACCCTCCTCTTGGACCCATGCAGCCAGCCACGTGGGGTCCCCACCCTGACCACCTGCTGGCTGCACGGCTCCGTTTTTGTCAGAGGTGCACGTGTGCTGTCTGAAAGGCAGCCCGCACCCACTCACTGCTGAGAGACTTCCTCGGGTTTTCTGTTTTCACGTTTGGGTTCCCAAGGAATGTGCTTGGTTTGTCATTGTTGATTACCCACGGACCTCTTTTTTTGGAGAGATTTTTGCTGTAGGGTGTGAGCGCTCACTGAGGAGGCAGAGAGAGACAGAAAGCGAGAAATTACCCCCAGGGGGGATGGCCACGCTGCAGTCCCTATGCCTCTAGTTTCTTCTCGGGATTTTGGTCACGCACACACACGCGCCTAGCATGAGTTTTAAGCGCCTGGGTCCTGGACTCAAACCGCGATCGACAACGTGGGAGTCCAGTAACGTAACCATTATGCTATCTGCTGGTCCCACCCATAGACTCCTTGTCAAGAGAGGTGAGATCTGAGCCTGCCCGCACCCAGGCACCTCTGCTTCAGAGTTACAATGCCATCTGGGCTGGCCCCGTAGCACGGAGGCTCAGGGTGCAGGGAAGGCCGGACCCCGCACAGTTCAGCCAGGCCCCAGCTGCTGACAGCACGCCAGGTGCGTGTGTGCGTGTGCACGCCTGCTCAGAGCCTGACAGGACGGACAGGTGGAGGAGGAGCTGCAGCACGGCCACTTTCCAGTGGGAGTGCACCCTCTCCTGTCCCTGTCTGGTGGCCTACGAGCCCCTAGCAGTAGAGACAAGCGGCAGCCAGTCTGCGTCACGTCAGGCTTCAGGAGCGACAGGCCTGTGCCGGCCACTGCTGAGCCCAGTGTGGCGGGGACAGCTGTGAGCCTCTGTCCTTGCAGCGCCTGTGCTGCTCTGCCCCGAGAGTGCCTGGCTGCCTCCTTTTCCACAGGCCAGACTCCTGCGCTCTCCCCGCCGACTCTCCCGGGGTCTGTAAGGCACCGCTGGCTCTCCTGCTGCTTGGTGCACCTGGCACCTCCATCCCAGGTCTCCCCTACGCAGCTGTCATTCAGGACACCCCGGAATCTGTTGGGGTGCTCGAGCATGGGGCACATGCCAGCTGCCCCGTGGGGGCCTTTGGACCGGCTGGCGTGGCCTCCTGTGACGGACGGGCCCTGGCGGGGGCTGTGGCCTCACTGTCTGGTTCCATGTTCATGACTGTTGCTTTTTTGTCCTGTTTGGCCTCGTGATCACAGATCAGCTGCCACAGCCGCCAGTGCCAGGGGAAGGGAACAGGCTCTGCCCGGAGCTCTTCCCACCTGTCTCTGAGAAAACGAGTCTTCCCGGAAGCCTGGCAGGCCTCTGAGGCTGCGGCCTGGGGGCTGTACTCCCGGGGCACTTCCTGGGGCCAGCCCGGCCCTCGCTGCCCCTGCAGGCCCTCCACGCAGGCAGTGCTTGCTCTGAAGGCCCTGCATGGGCTTCTGTTCGCCTCTGACCTCACTGTTTTCAGTGCGTCTTTGGCCTGGGGGAGGCAGGTCTCAGCATGGCAGCGACACTCCCATAACAGCTCCCGGTTAGCCAGGCCCACGGGGCAGCCGTCCACAGGTATGCAGCCTTTGCAGGGCAGCGGCCCAAGCCGGGCCTTCCAGCAGGCCCAGCCCTCAGGCTCCACCCCCACAGCTGCTCCTCCGTGTTCGGAGACCGTGGGAAGTGCTTTACTTCACGTTCGTCGGGTCTGGTGGTCGCAGCTCTCACCTGGCTCTCCCCAGGTGTCGGGTGCGTCTGTACCGATCTTACAGGCCTCCGGGCTGGTCTCTGTGTCTGTCATTTTACTTCTCTCAGGGAGTGTGCGCTTGCCAGAGAGGAGAAGGCACCCTGCAGGGTGATCACGCGTATGCCACTGGGTCAGGACTCGAGCCTCACAGTCCACTGTGTGGGGTCCACTTTCCTTAACCACCAGGCCACGGAGCCAGCCCACGCTGCCCTTCCCAGGGGCTGTCCCCAGCGGCGTGGAGCTGGGTGGTGTCGTTCCCTCCAGGTGCCTGGGACGCCCTTCCCACCTGTCCCACTCACCGCCCAGGGCCCGTGGCCGCTCGCCAGCGTCTGTCCTGCCTTGCCAGCCACGCTCTGCCCGGCAGTGGGCGGCGGCTGCTGCGCTCGGGGCACAGGGTCGTCTTGCTGCGGGCTGACTGTTTCCTGAACTTTGTCTGTTGCAGCCAAACTGAAATCAGTGAGGGAGATTTTGCACTTTTCTGGACCAGACTTGCAGAGACTGACCGGCCTGTCCAGCCCTGATGTCCAGCAGCTGCTGAGGGCATGCTCTGCACAGCTGCGGGGCCACAGCGGTGCTATCACAGGTGGGCTGGCAGCCGGGGCAGCACGGCCTCCTCCAACGCCTGGCTTCCCCTCGCGGCTGTTGAGCCTGGGGAAGCCCAGTGGAGCTGGTAGCAGCCCTTCTCATTCCTCTCCTATTGAGACGCCCAGGGCCCTAGGTCGGGTCCGGCTGAGCAGCCGTGGGCTCGGGGCCCCTTCAGGGCTCAAGTCGCATGGGCGGGGTGTGGGGGAGGGCAGTGCTTTCTTGGGAGAGCAGCCTGCAGGGTCACTTGTGCAGGATCCTGGGAGGTCCAGTGAGGGCGGCTCTCATTGGTGCTGGTTTCCGGCCCCTTGGCTTGGCCCGGCCACTCCATGCTACTGGGGCAGGCCTCGGGGCCTCTGCTGGGGTCTCACAGCCCCTGCCCCCGCAGCACTGCACCTGCTTCAGCAGAAGGAGAGGTTCCCTGTGCAGCACCAGCGCCTCAGTCTGGGCTGCCCCGTGCTGGACAGGCTGGCCCGCGGCGGCCTGCCCCTGGAGTGCATCACCGAGCTGGCCGGCCGCAGCTCAGCGGGCAAGACCCAGCTGGCGCTGCAGCTGTGCCTGGCCGTGCAGTTCCCTTGGCAGCATGGAGGCCTGGAAGCCGGTGAGTGGCCACAGCTCCCCTCCTGTGGAGGGGTGTCGCCCCTGGGGTGGGCCAAGGTGCTGCTCGCCTCCGTGGCTGCTTGGGCACCCTCCTTCCAGAGTGATGGCACGTGAGGCCGGGGGGGGGGTTGCCTGGTGCAGGCCACGTGCCTTTGGTGGGGTAGGAGTGGGTGAGCTCAGAGATGCCGTGTGGGTTCCTGCACAACCCAGCCCAAAACCCACATGCTGCGAGGGGTCCACGGAGCAGGATCCAGGGCAGAGGCCCGTCACCCCACCCCTCTGGCAAGGCCGAGGTCCCGGACCGCAGGGCAGGTTCTGGCCCAGCGCCCGCGCACTGCAGGCCCACTGTGAGTCCTGTGCTCTCGTGCCCTTGGAAGCAGCACAGCGCCTTTTCTCAGCCGCGGCTCCTCCAAGCTCACCTGCCCGCCTGTCCCTTCCCAAAGGGGAAACCAGAGCCAGAGCAAGCGAGCACCAGCCCCACCCCGGTTCAGTGGGGCTGCCGGGCCAGGCCTGCTGTGCTCCCCGAGCCCCAGTGCCCAGCACACGGGGGCAGGATCAGCATGGGCATCTGGCCACGTGTGGACCCAGTGGGAGGTCGGCACACCCAGAGCAGGTGCTCCTGGCCTGCAGAGCCGTCCTAGCCAGCCCACGTCTGGGCAGACGGTGCCTTGGCCCTACAGTGGCAGCCGTCTGGCACCGTGTGACGCATGGGAATGGCAGGCGCCATCTCAGGCCTGAGCTTCACTGTTTTGCAGGGCTGCCCTGAGGTGGGGCCAGTGGGCAGAGCTGCCTCCTGTCCACACTGAGCCTGAGCCAAGTCTGGCGGGGCAGCCCCACTGCACTTTGGCACGCGGTGTGCGGCTCCTTGGAGCCCATGCTCCCCCAGCCCAGGGACGTGGAGGCCCCAGGATCCTGCACCTCTAGGCAGTCCCAGCCCAGGGCCCTCTGGGGTTCCTGTTTCCTGCCCGGGGCCGCATGACACCAGTGAGCAGTGGGAATCCCGCATGGCATGGGCAGGGCCTCAGCCAGGGCCACGCGGCTACGCCGAGCTGGCCGCACTCCTGCCCTGATGTGCCTGGTCTACACAGCGAGTGTGGCTCACTTCCCCAGGGCCGGCTGCAGGTGCTGGGGCCCACCCTTCGGCCGTGCGCAGTTCCGGAGCAGGGCCGGGGCAGGCAGTAGTTCTGCCAGTTGCCAGCCGTGACCCTCCTGCTGCTCAGTGGGGCGAGTTGTCACAGGGCCTTGAGTGCGTCTCCCTGGCCGGCACGGCATCGTGTCCTCACTGGAGAACATCTACTGGGTTGAGTGCCTGGTTTTGTTTGTTTTTGTTTTCTTTTTTTAAGAGATTTTTGCTATAGGGTGTGTGTGCTTACCAGAGAGACTAGAGACAGAAAGCGAGAAATCAGCCCCCAAGGAGGATGGCCACGCCACGGTGCCTTGACCTCCATTCTCCCGGGATCTTGGGCACGCACACTTGCCCCGCATGAGTCTTAAGTCTCTGGATCCGGGACTCAAACTGCAGTTGGCCATGTGGGAGTCCAGTGCCTTAACCACTATGCCCCCTGCCGGCCCTTGTTAAGAACTCCACGCATTCTAGGCACAGCTCGCCAGCCTCGGGGTGAGCAGGCCTCTGGACCCTGTGGCTCGGCCCCGTCTCACGTAAAAGCCGGCGTCTGGGTCTCCGGCCGCTGTGCTCGGTGCCGTGTTGGGGCCGAGGCCGCGGAGCCCCGCCTTGTCCTCTGTCGCAGCGTTCGCTCGCACCCTTGGCCATCCTGAGCGAGGCGGGTATCTCTGCCTGGCCCGTGCCCGGGCCAGTGTGCGAGGCGGCCTCAGGCTCCTCTCTGGCCCTCGGCCCCCAGGGGCCGTCTACATCTGCACGGAGGACGCCTTCCCCGACAGGCGCCTGCAGCAGCTGGTGGCCCAGCAGCCACGTCTGCGCACGGACGTCCCGGAGACGGTGGTCTCGAGGATCAGGTTCGGCAGCCAGATCTTCGTGGAGCACGCGGCGGATGTGGTGAGTGCCGCCGGCTGCAGGCCTGGCGAGGAGACTGGTCGGGGAAACTGCCTGGTGACACAGTTGAAGTGCGCTGAGGGACTTGATTCAGGGCCCTCGGGCAGGTACAGGGGCGGGCAATGGCCGCGGGCCGGGAGGACGTGGGGCCCCACTCGGACCAGTGTGGCCAGCGGGTCTGTGGCCCAGGAGCAGGTGGGCGTGTGTGGAAGGTCTCCAGGGTCCCCCTGCAGACGGCTGGTGTCAGACTCCCCATGGGGGGCAGGCTGAGGGGCCCCGGATATGGGGGTGACTGGGGGGTGGGTTCCAGCTAAGCCGGCAGCAGGTTCCTCCTGGAACAATGCGCACAAAAGCACAGAAGGGCCTGGAAGGCTCAGCCCCTGACCGAGGTGGGCCAAGCAGGTTGTGGGACTGAGTGTGAATGTGGGTCCCAAGTGTCCCCCTTCACATCTGAACTTCGGTCCACAGTGAGGCAGGCCCCTCGGTTCCCTCCCAGGAGAGGGGCTCCTGTGGGCTGGAAGCTCCTGGCCACAGCAGCCCTACTGGGCTGGGACCTCCCCCAGGCCCCTCCGCTCAGGGCTGCCCGTGTA